ATGAGTACTCTGCTTCTGAGGGAAGAACCGGCAAGGCCTCTGAATTTCTGTCTGAATGCAAGCACAACGCACACAGTGTTCCATCATCGAAATCCTCAAAGATATCCTCGAACAAATACGCTGGTCTGAGATCTGATCGTTCATTACCCACAAGACACTGTGACAGCAAGACAGCAAACCTAGGATCAAGTGTGGTAGTGGAGTCATAGCCTTCATCCAACGACTCCAACAGAGCAAATGATCCCTCAGGCAAGTTGGTGAGAAAAGAAATCTCGCCATGCTGATGCTCACCGCGGTTCTTGAAAGTGATGAATGAAAGTCCCTTTCTCCACTTCAGTGAGCGACTGCTCTGAGAGAGCCAAAAGCCAGAATGAGAAGGATACATGATGGTAACAAAGTATCCATCACCCTTGTCATCTTGCCAACGGCAGACCTCGGCACAAAAGTGCCAGAAGGCATTAGCAGCCTTCCTGGACCACTCGTCAGGAATGACAGGATGAATGAAAATGTGATTAGGCTCAGACTTCAAGATCACTTGCCAAGCAGATTCTTCGATTGAATAGACTTGGCATTCCACTCACCAAACAACACAGGTTCACTCGCATCAAATCCAGAATGGACGGTGCACGCAGTAAGCCCGGTGAGGCGAGGTGTGATCTCAACGAAATCGCTCTTGCCTGAAGTGAGAGTGTGGTAACAGATCTCATGCTCATAGCAGAACTCAGAACCGGCACGATGAATATCGTCGCCGATGCGGTCGAGTGCCTCTTCCTGAGAAGAGCGTCTCGGGACCTCATCAGGCTTCAGAGGAATAGCCACATCATGCCAAGGATCTTCATCGCGCCTAACCTTCGACTGATTCACCCGAAGAACGGCACGATGAACTTCAACCAAAACAATGGCTCCTTCTTGTGACACAACTATACCTCTGATCCAGGTTCCTTCAGACTTCTTCTTAGACTCATCCTTGTGCCACACAAACACGCGATCACCCTTCGAATATGGACCATCAGACGGCATGACTCTGCGCGCAAGGTCCTTCCGAAGATCAAGTTGTTCGATCTTGTCGATCTTCTCTTCGGTGGCCATGAAAGAAAGGTTCGGAGAGTTGAAGTGTTCAACGAAGAAGGTTGTGGCGGCTGTGGTGCCGCTCGGGGCAGAATCAGCAAGCTGGGCTTGTCCATCCTTTCCGGATTTTCCATCCTTTCCATCTCTGCCAAACTTGCTCTTTCCTTTGCCCTTCTTTCCTTTCTTTCCTTTTCCTTGGCTGCATAGGACTCCTCCGACTCATACCAGGACCAGTCATCCCAGGACTGATCGCTCCACTGGTAATCTTGCCACTGTCCTTCTGCCTGCCATGCTTCTGATTCTTGGTTGGACCTGCCTTTCTTCCTCTTGAAGAAGCGCCTTCCTTTGGATCCTTTGCCACCTTTTCCTTTACCTTTGCGGTGGCCCTTGAATCCGCGCTCCACCTTGCGGCCTTGGAAGCGCCGCTTGGAACCATGAGTAGTTCTCGTCGTCGTAGACCCAGAAGGCGTCCTCATCTGCTTCCAGGAAACCTTCTGTGCCATCCTCCTCGTCCTCGACCCAGTAGCCTTCATGATTGTCCAAGTATCCTTCGTCGATCACAAGGAACGTCTTGCGGCCACGGTGGCCAGAAGGAGCGAGGAGAGGATTGTCGACGGTAGTCTTGGTCGTGCAGAAGATCTCAAGGTAGACCTCACGCAGCTCCGTCAGGTTGTAGTCAGCCAAGACTCGGTTCCGATGTGCCATCAATGATGTCAACACCTGCCGCTGATCCTGTGTAAGGTCGGACAGGGAGACGAAGATCAAAGCAACGAGATTGGCCGTGATCGGAATGGTCCGAGCATGCTGATCTCTGAGCCGTTCGTTGGCTCTTTCCATTGCTTGCTCTGCCGTGAGTCCTTCTTGTTCTTCTGGTGGAAGTCCTGCTACGAAGGCTCTGACCTCTGCATTGTTCGGGTCCACAATCGGCATGTAGGTGTCGTTCCACGCTTCTTGCATCCTCTGAACAGAGAGTTGAAACCTGGTAATCCAACGAAGCATGTCTCCATTCCCGCGGTGCAAATTCATGAACTGTTGGAAGCGGTAGAGGAAAACATTCGCTGCTCCCTTCACGAAGAGCGGCCGCAGGAAGCTCTTGAAGTACTTCACTCCGTTGTTGGGGTCCTTCAGGCGATCTCTGTCGAGAAGCCTTTTGTGGATTGCTGCCTCACCTTCTAGCCGATTTCTCAAAGCTGGTCCACGCTTATCATTGTCTAGCTCAGTAATGTCACACCAGTCATCGATCGCATCCTCATAGGCGAAACAACTACTTCTTCCATCATAAGATGGAGGTACCTTGGTGGTCACCTGCTGGAAAGCTGAAAGACGGTGTAGTTCATTGAGATGACGATGATTTGTCGCAAAGACTCATTGCCTTGAAGGAGGTAGTCATCATCTCCTCCATCATGCTCAAAGATAGTCGCGGAGTGGCTAGCCATTGCGCTGTTCTTGGATCGAGCCCCGGGATAAACCTCTTCCGGTTATCTTCACTTAAGTAAAGTGTACCGGAGAGATTCCGGTCACCTTCACTTGAGTGAAGCACACCGGGTATTCCGGTTGCCTCCACCTGTGTAGAGAGTACCGAACGGGTACCTCCACAAGTGTGAAGCTTCCCGTTTCCCGGGAGCTCCGCTACCACGTTGAGATGTAACCTGGACGTGTATCCCCTCGCTAGGCGTACAGGAACACAGGCACTCAGGTGTCTCTTTTGCTACAGGCGCACAGCTGTAGTCCACTGCACTAGAACCTTGAGCAACAGGCATGGATACATGCAAGTGATACGTGAAACAGACAGGCACCTGGATGTGTAACATTCAGTGTTTCACCCCCCCCCCCCCCAATGGTATGGTCTGACAGGGGTGGGGGGGGTGGGGCCTGGCGTGTGCGGAAAGGGGTTGGGGCCGTTGGAGCTGCCACTGGATGGTGGGGTGGTGCTGGCGGCCAGGGCTCACGCGCAAGCCCTTCTCAAGCAAGCCGTAAACCCTATGACGCAGCGCGTGCCCCGGTTTTGAGCAACCTTAACTTGTACTTAAAACGCTACACCCAGCCCTAAACCCCCACCTAACTACTGCAGGCTCTAAGCCTAAAGCAGAGCATACACCGCAAATCCTCCCTAAGCCCTTGTCGACTCGAAGCCTTATACCTTGTAGCCGTAAACCCAAAACTCAAAAGCTTAAGCTAAACCCTAAACCCAAAACCCCACAACCACCCACAGGGGGAAGAGGAACCCCACACCCCACACCACAGGGGAGGGGGGGGGCCACCCTATATCCGGACCATTGACCTTTGGGGGGGGGAGGGGGGGGGGCTGCGGAGCGCGTGACCATACATTACATTCTAGCATTTTTCCATTTCTCCATGCCACGGGAAATGCACGGTGGCTGGTTAGTTGTTTCATTTCTAACCTTTTACTCGCGCCGGCCGGCCGAAAAATGACCTTTCAGTTTTCGCTTTCTATAGTTTTCGCTGAAGCTGTGCGCGGGGAATGCCTTACATGTTTCAACAACGCTAAGCCACCACAGGGAGTTTCTGGGTAGTTTGCGACCCTGTAAGCGATGCGCCCATCCCACCAGCGCTGTACCGGATCCTCGTGAGGGGCCTGAGGAAGAGCTGACCGGGACGGCCCGGGCTCTGTCTGATCTTTCTTGCTTCTGAGTGCCAGAGCAAGGTGCTCGTGCGATGGCGATACCTGGCAAGGCGTCGCTGGACAGAAGCTAGCAGCTTCAGCTTCTGCTATTTGTATCATGCTGCATGTGACGATCTCATACCCCTGGACAGCTAGGGAAGACCATCCAACCTGAAAAGTCACTGCCCACCGAGAACGCCAAGCCGTGTGCCTCTGGAGACACCCTTGCGGCTGGCTGTCGCCTGCTCGAGCCATGTGTCTTTCTCTGTCTTGCTGTGACCCTGGGACTTGCATTCAATGTTCCTGGTTTCTTTGGCACACCTGGCTGCGCCCAGACAGCGTGAGGCTTTGGCTGCTCGCCCGGCGATGGAAGCCGAAGCCCTGGGCTTTGAGGAGGCGATGTGCCTACGTCTGACGTCTAAAGATTGGAAAACATCCAAGCACCAAGCTGTAGATGCCAGACTCCCCGATGCCATGCCGCAGCGTGTGCTCTGCAGAGTAAGGGCTGCTAGCTGCTAGCTACTGGGTCGATAAAATATAGGGTCCTTTGGTGCAACGAAGGCCTCACGGACACTATCGCTGGTGCAGTGAAGTGAAAGGCTGTGAACATCACGTACTAGCAGTGACTTAGTGGCGTTGTAAACGAGAAACGCTGTACGGATTTGGCGCTGTGCTCCGAGGCCAGGCTCGACCCAAAGCACCGAAACAGAACTCCTTTCTCACTTCCTATGTCATATCATCCGGCACATCGCTACTAAGCGACCTCGGACCGAAAAGGCCAAGCCAACCTATGGCCAGGAAAAAAGACGGCTAGAGTCGGCTAGAGTGGATGTGTCACAAGCAGATGCGCTGCAGGCTGCCTGCAGGTTGTTCGATGCTCAGGTCTCTAGGGAGGATGCTGGGAAAATCAACCCTGTGAGACACGTCACCGCTTCCCGGAAGAGGTTTTCATCTTCTCAGTTCTAGCTTCTCTTGAAAACCCACCCACCGGGAGCCGGGACAACTGCCGTGAAACGGGGAGAGACTGTCCATGGACCACGGCTTCGCTTGCTCGACACCATCGATCCTGGCTGGGCAACGCAACAAACAGCAATCCCACGGGGCACGGAACAAGACTGCTGATGAAGAGCGGGCTCATGACACTGATCGGCATCAGCTGTCACATCATCAACGTCATCGTCGTCTTTATCGCCATCATCATCATCATACCATGGCAACGCAGCAAGGTGTATCGCGAATCTAAAAGAAGGATGCATCCAGCGGTCATCCCCAGCGCCTGCCAGTGTACGGAGGAGCAGAGCTCCGGATTTCACGAGGCCACTGCTCCTACACGGAGTAAGGAAGGGCCTTGGGTCTGTACGATGGGCCAGAGAGGCGAGAGAATCGACTGCAAAGTAGAAGCGCAGCTGGTTCCAATGTCTGCACTCCTAGAAGTCGAGACTCCTCCACGCCAACGACGACCTTCCGGTGCCCACTCGCGGGAATTTGACTAGGAAAGCTCTATCACGTCTCCTTCCAGATGATGGCAGCCACGCTGAGACCAACACAGCCCAGGACCTGTCCCAATGCCCTCTCCAGAATCTTCCGCAGGGCCCAGTAGCGCAGCATGGCGCAGTCAAGTCGGTATGCCTGCCTCTTTGTGCGCTGCAGGACCCTGGCTCAGCAGTTTTGGCCGGATGGACATGTAGACGGCCAGGAGCACCCCCAGCCTTTCGTTGCTTCGGAACAGCAAGTTCCCCATTCAGTCTCTCAGAAGCTCCAGGCAAACAGACGATCCAAGAGAGCATAGCCCATTCCAACCTCAGTTCGCTGCAAGCTCGGGGAGTCACCCACGTTACAGCCACCAAGGGTGGGGCAAGGAGAGTACGGCATCGAAGGTGGCGGACCAACAACGACAACTGGCAGGGAGATCAAACTGACGTTGGGACATGATGTGCCGAGCATTCCATGCCGGCAAGACTACAGCTCGTCCGTTTCCTTGCTCCAACATGGCACGCTGCTTCGAGGTAGGAAAAGCCGAAGATAAACGGGAAAGCTTTCAGCGGCAGGCCCGAGGAGAACTCCACAGCGAGAGGGCCTTGCCAGATTTTTGGCACGCCTCCCACGGATGGTACCATTTGTGGCCATACACTGTCGTACGCTGCACACTCACGAAATCTGTTGAGCCGTGCATTGCGCAGGAGCCTGCGCACGCTTTCGGCTGCTCTGACCCGGAAGGTCCAATGGCTGGCAGAATTCCTGCATCCGTGAATTATCAGACCAAACAATGAGGGTTCGGGTCGTGTCCAGGAACAAGGGGTTTGGGCACGCACAACCGTCAATCCTGCAGGCAAGCACTCAACACAAGTGCTCTCTTTCAAAAGTCATGGTTTGTGGGTCTTGCACTGTCAGATTGACTCTGTAAGTCTTTACATGGAGGACGTGCGTAATTCTCCACCTCCGCCCTTCTGACATGGAAGAAACTGTACGTTGATGCACAACAGGAGGTGATCAGTCTCCTTTATTTGAGAAACGAGGAAACAATAAGCTTGGCCTTGACCTACCGTTGATTCTGCGTGTCCGTCCAACGCGGCGCAAAGTAGCCAGAGGCCTCCACCTTAACCATGGAAGCCAGTGCCCCGCCCGGCTTGCCAACAAATTTGGATGCGTGCGATCTGATCTCGGATGACATTGCATCCAAAACTGCTGTAAAGTAGCTTCCAGGAATCCGGTCCAGAACGCTACTCACTCAAACTGAGTTACGGATCTCCGACCGAGCCTAAACTCGTTCTGCGAGCCCTGTTGTTGCTGTTGTCGTTGCTGTTCCCGGAGAGCGAGTTATCCTCAAGGAGGTAGCACCCCAGAGGTTTCTCAAACAGAAGACATCCTTCGGCCGACTGGGCTTGGACCCTGTTTTGCAGCACGACAAGTCCGCCACCAAAAAAACAAGTTGTTGCTGTCGTCCATGTCGATAGTGGCGACGGTGGTGGGGGTGGTGGCGGTGGCGGTGCTGGTGCTGATGGTGTTGGTTGTTGGTGGGTGTTGTCGTGGCGGTATTGTTGATGGCGGTGGTGGTGGTGGTGGTGGTGGTGGTGGTGGTGGTGGTGGTGGTCGTGTCGGTGCTGGTCGTGGTGGTGCTAGGTGATGATCACAAGGCTGGTTTTGATGGGATGATTGCTACTGCTATCTACTGCTCATGATGCTAATGACTGACGACCCAGATTGCTGACTCGGACGACTGGGACGAAGAGGAAGAGTCCTGCGCCACCACCACTGGCAAGACTCTCTTCTCCAGCGTACACCTGACAGAGCAGGCCAGCTAGGCGCATCGCACGCACCGCGCGCCTGCCACTCAACCAGCATTCTTGCTCTCCGTGGATCTGCATTCAAGTGCCCCTTCAGGGCTTGACTCTACACGCTGATAGGAAAGAGCATGCTCTAGGCCCCTGGACTTCAGAATCATCTCCGGGACTTGGCCACAACAGGAGATCCATGATTGGACTCGTGGTGCCTCTACCACGGCCTGGAAAATGGGAGCTGTCGTGCATCCAGTAGCCTCCTAATTCGGGAGCCACGGAAAGGTACAAACGCGGACACCTGAGGCAGAACTGCGGCTTGGCAGTGGTCGGTGTGCTTAGCTCTGGAATTCTGTCCCGAGACAGGCTTAGCAGGCCGCGCCGTAGCTACGTGTCAAGTCAAACCATGGGAAGCACAGTAAAGCTGAGAGTCAACCACTGCGGCTGAAGCTCTCCAATGTCACGAATTGGCACTGCGCTGGATCCACATCTTGCTCTTTCAGTATCTGCGCAATAATGTGCAGTTGCAGCCGTGGATGTCTGGCAAGAGCTGCAACAAGCGACGAAACTCAAGGGATCTAAGCGAAATCCTGGCGCCGTACCAACACCTCGAGCAGGCTCTCCAGCAAGTCCCGAGTCAAACTGACTGCAGCATCTGCTGAGAATCAAATTCGGCTGCAGCCTTTGGTCGCCAATGCCTTCCTTTAGGAATGCTTGGAATCTGGCCGTGTTTCTCCCCGAAGACAACCATGTGGTGCCAAAGCTCACTACGAACTCATCTAGTACTCTAAGATACTCTAAGTGTTGCAGCATCAACATAACTGCCCTGGCCTCTACTGCTACAACACCGACAGCCCTCTCTCAAAGTTGACGAAGGAGCTACTTCAGCCAAGCTCATGGAACGTTAGCCGCCCTTCAGGCAAGTTGCACTTGTTGGGCGGGGGAATGGCTTTCTCTCTTCCGATTCATCACTAATTTTCTAGAAGCTGTCCTCGCCAGCCCTTTCCCTGTCCCCGCCATGTGATGGCACGGGTTTTCAACCCCTCTGCCAAACCATGGTCGCACACTCCTCAGGAGTGTCTCCAATCGAGACACTGGACCTGCGGGCCTCAGGGCTCATGGTGTGCCTGGCTCATCCATCTCCGGTCCTCCTAGCGCTCAGAGCTGTGGCTCCACTGAGCTTCCATCAACTTTGCTTATGCGGCGGGAATTCACTAGTATCGGTGGCCTGCATCGCGAGCTCTTCCAGCTGCTTCCGAGAAAGCCATCGCAACCTTCTGAGCCACTGCTGTGCGCCGAACGATGCCTTGTAGACCTTACGTGGAAACTCGCTTCCCAGTTGTCGAAGCAACTTTAGGATAATTTATTCAAGTGTGGCAGAACAGCATTGTGTGCGCTATGCTTGCAACTTCCACTGAGCCAACAGCACTTGGTAACGCGATCGTGCTCCTTCTTGCTGCTTGTTTGCCTGGCAAGCCGGAACAGCGCTTCTCGGACGGCTGCAAGCTCTCGATACCACGGAGAGAAGGCAGCGTGCACCTGCCATCTGCTACCAGCGACATCAGCGTCCGGGTGCCACGGCGGGGCGAAGCTGCACCAGCATAGAATGCGGTGGGAACACATCAGTGCAGGACGTCGATTGATAAGACGGGTTTCGGAAAGCATGTCAGCGAACGGGTCAAGAGTCAAGCTCGTACAAGAGATGCAGGGTGATCCACGTGCGGGCAAGGCCTTTAGCAGCCAGCGCCGGCGCAGAATTGGAGGTTTTCATCTTGTGGCTGCTCAAGCGCCCTTGCCAACACCAACAAGGCAATGCACCTCAGGCTGCAGCACACCCACGCCTCGAAGAACCGCTGGCGAGAGCAGTTCCGAAGATTGGAGGGCCTGGTTGGACCTGTAGGATGAAAGGCATCGCAAAAAGGTTCGGCAGGTGTCAAAGCACTTGTTGGCCTTGGCGATCCGCTGCTTTCGCGATGGATACCTCCACAAAATGCAAGGGGCACTGCTGGGCAATGCTCCCTCTCTGAGCCCGGCGGGGTTTGGGGCCCCTGTCCCAACCGCACCTTCGAAATGGCCTCCAGAACAGAACTCAGGGATAGAAGTACGCGGTGGCGAGAGCTTCCGGGGCCCAGACGAGGCAGCCAGGATCCCTTTGATTCGGATGGCCAAGTGTGGCTCTGCATCGGGCTCTGCATCTTGCTCCGTGGGCTGTAAGCCTGGACACACGTTTGCCTGCCATGTACTGAGACGAAAGCACTGCGAGCTTTCGCTTGCAGCTCTGCAGGCAAGGTGCTGCAGCCGTCGACCTGGGGTCATTTGCTTGCAGTGTGCAGCCCTTTGACAGTTGGCTCAAGCGGCGTGTGCCTCTCAGGGCTGTAAGCCGTCGTCCGCGATGCGGACGACGAAATGCGGCGTCGGCCTGATGGAATGGAGGGCACACCTGGGAAGCCTCCGAGTAGACTCGATAGTCGGGACATCGACAGCCAACTCGAAAAAACATCCGAAGCGATCGGGACGCCCGTGTGCTTTCGCGGCTTGCACATCTTGCCCGAGATACTGCAGCGCCGGCCCAGATTAAGTGATGTGATATGATGGCCTCGGCCATCACGTGGTGATCGAGGGGAGCGGTGCCAGCGCATAGCATTGAAGACCGGTGGGTAGTTGCAACAGGCCTCCTGCGCCACCTGCATGGAAAGGAGATGGAGGCTTGAGGCTCACCCTCTCGGCTTCTCTGCTGCAAGCTTTGGCCAGCCGGAAAAGTCCAAGCTCCGAAGAGGGAGATCTGCATAGGAAATACGATGCCTGACTACGTGAGTGCCATACGTCAACCAAAACCCGGCCTTCCGCGCCAGAAAGGAAGCTGGGCTCAATGGCCGCTTTAACCGCCGCAGGGCCACTTCCTGCAGCGGGGTCTCGTCCTGGCTGCCGCACTTGGATCGATCCGACGGACAACCAGGCAGATCGGTAGACGAGTAGACAGATAGGTAGACAGGATGGAGAAAATCGAACATCAGCCGAAGACATCATGATGAACAATGAACAAGTAGTCGATGGTAACTTCGGATTGCTTGAGAACAACACCAGGAAAACCCACTGCCACATAAGACATGCCTTTGATGCGCTAAGGGCAGCATAAGATTTTCAAAACAAGATCGGCGGAAAGGTAAAACATGATCTAGGTTATACATGCTGATGAGTGTTGATGAGGCTGAGTTGCCCGACAGTGAGATGGCCTTTTTTGAAAAAGAAATCAACAGAAACTAATGCTTCACAGTCGCCCTGCGAAAAGGAGTTGCTATTGCGACACCACGCACTCAATATCACGCTAAGTGCACAATTTTAACAACAGATCACACAAGTATGGAGTGCAGCAGTGGATGCTTTCGTGATCAGGAAAATGCGCTTAAGACGAGCCAGGAACCTACTAGTTAATGGAGTTGATCCTTGCTTCCCGGCCATCACATGATGCGGTCTCGCCTCGCCATTGATGGTGGTGGCTAGGTCGGACAAGCATGCCTCGGAACAGGGATTGGGTGTAGGGTAGGGTTCAGGCTCAGGGTTTCCATGAGGAGGCCTCTGGATGCCTCTGGCTTCGCATTTTCGCCCCTGAAGTGCCGACGAAGGGCAGTATTCCAGGGCCGAAGGCTGAAGGGATCGCAGGGAGGTAGGACATCCATCCGGCCATAGGACTCGGGAATGACGCTAGATCTTCGGTTGTATCAGTCGCACTTGTCCGTGCGTATGGTCTCGGGCAGATTTGCTTCCGTCAAAAGTACTTGCCGAGGGACTTGGTGCCCTCGCTCCTATTTCTGCGCTGTGAGCCGAACCAGAAAACCAGGTAGACGCTTCAACACTCCAGGGCAGCATTGCCGCCGTCGCATGCAGCGCATGAAAGTGCAGGAACTCGTGGATAGTTCTGGGCCTGACAATGTCAGCAGAATCCTGGCCCAATCGCGCATGAAGCTCGGAAAAAAGTCTAATTCCAGCTTGCGACTTCGCCATGCGTGGAGACAATCTGCCGCTGGTGCCATTGGGCACTGGTTATAGTCCAGCATCGAGACGAAGGAGGCATGGGATGCCTGGCACGAGAAACACGCATTATGTACAACATGCAGACTTGCGTCCTTAGATATCGTCACTGCGCTTGTTTCCGTAACCTTCCCCATATCTGTCGCTGTCAGTCTGTGATCTGTCTGTATGTCGTTTTTCGCGCCCTGCTGTCGGGGGGAACGGCTGAGGCCAAACCCCCCTGTTGCGACATTTCACTCTGCATCGCCTCACACGTTCTTATGCAGTGCCCGATGTGGCTGTCTCCCTTTTTTCATTGGTCGGACGTAGGTCTGTCAAAGTTGGCCAGAAGGTCCAACAAAGCTCGGTTCAACTTATCAGTGCCACTTGAGTGGAACACAAACGAAACTCGCAGCAACTAGACGACTGCGGCTGCGATAAACTAGGGGTGGCGCCTGCACGGATGCTGAATGAGTCCGACGTGCCTGGCATTACCACTCTTTGTGAAAAGTGCTGTACAAAACCTCGCGAGAAACTGAAGCCCAAGCTGAACAAGCAGACTCAGATGAGGTCGTCCCACAACACTGACAAATGACAGCCAGTCATCAAGGTTCACCCGATGGTGTGCCCAGGGTGTGCAAGTAGTCTCGGTAGGCCTTGGCGATGGTTGCGATGGCCTTCAAAGCCTGAGTTTCCCACTGTTGTGCATGACGTGCTCGTTGTGCATAGGCACGCCGGTGAGAGCCCGTCCAACGTCGTTCCATCGATGCCTGTGCCGCTTTGTCCGCAGCCTCATTGAGAGCACGGAGCTGCGTAGCGCACAGGCCACCATGAGGTGCCCAGGTGGGCTGTTTGCCATGGGACGGTGTCCAGACAAACTCGACTTCCAACTTGCCGTCGCGAAACTTCTTGATGTAACGCCGAATCGTGTCGAGCAGGAGAGCGTAGTCGAAGCCCTGCTCGCCCTGGATCGCCCGAATCGCCGCCTGGCAGTCGACGACGAGGTAGACCCGACGCCACCGTACCTTGGGAGCCCGCCGTGCAATGTCAATCGCCTCGAGGGCCAACGCAAGCGCGAGAACCTCCATCCTGTACGGGCTCTGATCCTCCAGCCCATCGCCGAAAGCAGCTACCGAGTCAGGATGCTGAACAGCAATGCCCGAGGAGCCCACGCCATCCTTGCTGGAGCCGTCCGTGGCTACGAAGAGGTCCTGCTCGTCTGCGAAGGTGCCGAGGAGCTCCACGAGGTGCTCCTTGAAATCCTGAAGGTCGATGGCCGGCGGAGCTGCCGGCCCGGGTAACACCCCACCTCCATGGCGAAGAGTCGCTCCTGAGCAGTGTGAGCCGGGGGCTGAATGTCGGCCCGCATCGCCTGAAAATGCGTACATGACCACGCGAGGTGAGGCCTGCTGGGGTGGGTGCCACCACACGCACACTTATGTCGAGCATGATCGCTGTTAAAGTTGCCGCCTGCATTGTAGTGCCAATTGGAAGCCCCCGCGCCAATGGAGGCGAGGAGCAACTCTCGGTCACTGCCCGCAGCCCGGAAGCACTCACGGTGGCCTCCGAAAGCGAATTGAGCGTCAGGCGAGGGCGGTGGAAGTCGCAGTCCCACAGCTGCAGCATCATCATCAGTCCTGCGGTTGGGTCGCCACACGCGGCCTGCACGACCCACATAGAGTCGACGGTAGTGGTGCCTGAGCCATTGCAGCAGGACCTGGAAAGACTGGTAACCCACATGCAGCAACCTAAACAAACCCTCAACATCCCAACATTGAAGCACCTTAGTGTCGGCAGAGAGTGCCCACTGCAAGCGTTGCAGCGTCGGCTCCAGCATGGGCAGTGCCTTGATCACATAGCCTTGCAGCTCCGACAGAGGAAGGGCCTCAGTCCAATCCATCGGCTGCACGACAGAGCGCCAGTAGGCCCGCAGGGTGGCCACATCCAAGCAGAATTGGGGGTCCAAGAACCACCCAATCGTCTCATGAAGCAGCACCCTCGCACAACCAAAAGTGGAGAATCGAGCAGTCATGTGGTTGATCTCCTGTCTAATGGCAGTCAGCTCCGCCGCGTCCGGTGCAGCGTAGGCAGCAGCCCACGTGAAGCATGGCACAATTAGCGAGCGCAGCAGGAGCCCAATCGTTCTGTTAGGCAGCCCTAGAGATCGAAGAAGTTGAAGCCGAACCTGCAGTTTGCGAAGTGAGAACTTCAGGAGCCGCCAAGGGCCGTGCTGAGGGACCACCACACCTAAAGTTTCCAGATCCTGCAAGTGCTTGTAGCCGAGAGTCCTAGCAAGAGCAGCAGCCTCCTGACACGACGCCTCAGCAATGATGGCACATTTGGGCAACGAAACCTCAAGTTGCATGGCCCGGTCAAACTGGTTCGAACGCTCCACAGCCAGAGCGAGGTCCTGGAAGGATCCATGACGCCTGAGCAGCAGGACCCGGTCATCGACATAGCCGTAGCCTGTGATGGGCCTGTCGACTTGATCCTCGACGCCAAGGACGTGGCATGCCCACACGTGTGTGACGGCCGCCGCTATTAGCGGGCTGAGAGGACAACCCTGAGGAAGTCCTCTGCTAGGTCGATACCAGTCTTTGCTTAGCGCTCCTTCCAGCGCAAAAATGCGTTGAGATTGCGCGCATGCGCTCGTGAAAAGGCGGACGAGCTCCGGAGGCGCCTTGAGATGGGTCAAGATTGCCTCAGTAGCGCCATACTCCAGGCTGTCGAAAAAGCTGGCGATGTCTTGTTGAGCGACGGCTCGGAAGCCTTGCTGGGTCTCAAAATGGAGTTGTTGTAAAGCTGCAGCCACACTGGTTCCCGGCAAACCGCCTGTGTCTCGAGCGGTGCGCCACGACATGCACCATCCTGCCAGCTGCTCATTGATCAACTTGGCTCCGGCCCGCCAAAGAATGGGGAGCACTGTTATCGGGCGCGATTTGCCGGAGGCTTTCCAGAGGAGGCTGGTCCGTCCGCGGGTCCAGGCACGAGGGATGCGGCCGGTTTGCAAGACGCAGCGCCAGAGCGCTGCGGCGCACTCCCACCAAGAGTCTGGCATCAAGACTAGAGCTGACGCAGGCCACGAGTCTGGGCCAGGAGCTTTGGCATGCATGGTGCCTGTCGCGGCCTTCAGCGCCGCCGCTGTGATGTCAAACACAGCGTCGGTGCTTTCTGGCCTCGGGGTAGCCGCCAAGATCGGGTCAAGGGCAGCTCGAGAGCCAGGTCGGGAGCGCCAGGTTTGATGCCAGATGGCGGCCTGACGATCAACTTCAACAGCAGGGTGTCGGCCAGTCCGCGGGGCCATGGCACTGGCTTGCTCGTGTTCCCATTGAAGGATGGCGTCCGTCCGCTTCTTGATGTAGCTTCGGGCCGCCGTGATGTCACTACGGACGCGGTGTCTCCACTGTGCCTTGGAGGCTTTCCGCTCGGCATCCACGTAAGCTGTAACCAGGTCCGACACAACAGTCAGCATGGCTTGATCGATCACGGTGAAATAAGGCAGCTCGGGCACCAGCTGACGCACACCTCGCAAAGACTTCCAAATGCACTGCTGGAGTTGTCGGTGGTGTGGCGACGCCACTGCAGTCTGAAGGCGAGAGTGGAGACGGAGCAGAGCTCGCAAGCCTGGGGAGCGCTCGGGCCTCTTGCTGGATTTAGGGGTAAGGCTAGGGGCATGGGGATGCCAGTGCTCAGACCGCCTAACTGCACACTCATCAGGATCACACAGGGCGTCCTCAACATTATCAGAAAGCAAAGCCCAGGCAGTCTCGACATCGCAGTCCTCTAAGGCAGCCTGCAAGGCCACCGGGGACCACTCTGCAAAACTTGCAGCCGCCTGCTCCTTAGTGACGTCCGATCGTATCACGCGGCGGCGGGGCCCACGTCTCATCAAGGGAGCGGCCACGTCGTAAGTGTAAGCAACAACCAAGTGATCTGAAGGGCCCTCATGATGAGCGACCGTCTGAGCTGGGAGTTGAGCATGCTGAATCGCGAAGTCGATCCGTCTTCTGCGCGATCCTTGATAGACAGGCCCAGTAGGCTGCAATGCCGCTGCAGGGGCACACGAGTCTCCGCAGCTGACCTGCCCAGATGCAAAGTACTCAAGCAAGACTTGGTGGCCCGGCTCCAAATTGAAATCCCCAAGTATCAAGAAGCGAAAACCTGCATGCAACGACTGCTGGAGAAGGTCTTCGGCTTGTCCGGCGGCTGTGGGCTCATCCCCTGCCTGTAGGTACGCGCCGACAAGGAGGATGGGCTCCATATTGCCGGCAGCATTGGCACAATCCAACAGCCCCGCTACGTAACGACCACTGGCTTCCTCGGTGTGGAGACGGATCTGCCGAAGAGGATGGGCGCTGAGGAGCGCCACTTTGCAAGTGCCCTGCAGGGGTTCGCTCAAGAGACAATGCCAGCCTAAGGATTTCCACGAACTGCAAAAGCTGACAGAGGACCATACCGGGACATCGACTTCGGGAAGGACCAAGACATCAGCAGGCTGGTCCTGGAGATACTGATCAATGCGCTCCTGCACGGAACCGAACTTCTTCCAAACCTCAGCCGAGACGAACTCCTGCGAGACCTTGCAGAAGAGGGAAGTGGAAGCCTTGGGTTGGATCCTGGTAGCCTGTGCCAAGCCCTTGGGCCTACCAATGTCCTCGCCATGGCTAGCAACCTGAAAAACCCTAGCGTCAAGGAACCTTACGAAGTTGCCGGCCTTGACAGGCACTCGCTGGCGCACCGCCTTATCGGAAGGCTGCGGCTCATCCTTGGGAGCATCCTTGCAGAACTCAATGAGGAGGACGCTGTGTCGCTTCCCGGAGGCTTGCAGGAGGGTCTTAGCAGTGCTAAGTTGTCCTTTGCCGCAATGGATGACGGCCTTGAAGAGGTCCGTGCAGGCCTCTAGCTTTGAAGCCAGCACCTCGTAGCGAACTAGATCGAAATCCCAATCCTGCTGCCGGAGCTCGACCTCATCAGTCGGCTCGCGCCGGCGGTTCACAACAGACCACCCCTCCTCCTGCTTGGGCGGGGCGGTGGGCTGGGCTTCGGCCTGACCCTTGCCGCGATCAGGGCC